TGTAAACAGCAGTTCAATAAACAATAATTTAATATTAAGATATTTACGTTTTAGACACAATATTGACTGGTTTTGCTCTATTTTGCCAACAAATATAATTCCAATTTGCATCTCTGAGCAACATGAAGGTGTTTCGTTCCTGAATGAATCAACCGTTTAAATGATTCGGTTCAATCGCAATGACGTGCTGACACCTACTGGCAGTTTTAATTTCACATTTAAAGTATATTTTCATTTTTTTTTTATAATTTCAAATATCAGTATTCAACATTTTATGTTTAAAATATCAAAACAGTATTAATGCATTTGTAACTACAGGTTAAAACATTAATGTCCTGCATTAAACAGTGTGTAAATGCATCTAAATGCCCCTTCTAATGCAGCTTCTGTGTTTTCACTGCATTGCAAAGATTACTTTTGTCAATACTAATTTAATTTGCTTGGTAACAGCCCAAATTACTTATTCTAATTGACTGATTCAATTTAAGAATTTGACTGAAAAGATGATGCACACTTTAGAAATGGCTTTATTACGGTAAAAATGCCCATAAAAGGTAAAAATCAATTTAAACTTATTGGAAAAGATTCATTTCTATCACTGCTGTGAACTGATCATCACACAGAATATGCAGAATATCAAAAACTTTAGGAGTTAGCTGTCCACGGTTGTCCTTAAGATATCAGCACACACACTCAGCAAGATATCATCTAATTATCATTTTCGATAAAATCCCAGAAAATATTGAGATATATTTTTTTGTCAATATCGCACACCCCTGATATATTTAACATTTTGATTAGAAAAAAATCACTTTTTTCCACTTGAGCCCCTGCCCCTCAAAATGTCTGTGCACGTCCCTGCCGGGGACCTTGAGGGAAAGATGTGAGAACCCCTGTCCTAATGACAGAAAAATGCATTTGTCTAGTTGCCAGACACAACTAAATGTATTTCTGTCTAATTAAAACAAATAGACCATGTTATATGTTTCTTTTTACATAATACATAGAATAAAACTTCGTAATAATAATACTTACAGATATTAAAGAATCATATTTGAAAAGAGACATGGCTATTGTGTCACCATATCCATACCGTCTACATGAGCCACTGGTGCTTGGACCTTGATATTTACTGCCTGCAGCTAGATACTTGCAGAGTCACAGCACCAACTACTGGTAAAAAGATATGAAAAATTGATATTTTTGATTGCAACTTCTGAACAGTTTTATACTTTGTATCTTGCACCAAATCAAAAAAATAAATAAATAGAGTTAAACGATGTTGGTTATTTTGAGCACCAGCCATTTTTGTCACAGAGTATAACAATAACAAATATGAGAATACAACTGCTCATCACAGTACTATAGTTTGGAAAATACTGTGGCATCGCCGGTATTTTGAGGCTTGGCCAGCAATGGACCCCTAGTCTGTCATGGCATGAGGAACTGCTTCTACCATTTCCTTACCTCTTTCTCCTAAGGGGTTCTCGGTTGATGCCACTGTAACAGGCTTCTCAGTCAGACCTGTATGAATGTTGAGCAAAATCAGACACAATCCCAGCAGGAGAAAAAAAAAAACTCACAAGGACAGTTTTTTTCTGCCATGGAATTCTACAAAAAGTACCATAGAAAATTAGAGTATTGCCATCATGCAACATATAAATAAAATTAATATTCATCTTGGGTCAATAAGAATACAAATAAACTTATCAATGCACACACAATGTATTAACCAGACCAAGTATAATTTAAATAAGGGTGGGAGGGACTGAGGCAGTTACCTATATACTTTTTTAGAACATGTAACTACACACTTTAGTTTCAGTGAACATATTTGATAAACCATTTCAATAAATATATTAGCAAATAAAATTTACATCACTTTTAAAAAAGTACTTTGTCTTATCCTAGTCAAATATGCACAATAAGATATGGTATTTCGCATGTTGAAAAGCATTGCTGTTTGTTGAAACAGTCAGACACGTAACACGACTAGTTTGAGTAATGGCAGATGGGACAATTGCTCGGAAGGCTTTTTAATATTTTTATTTTTATTTATTTTTCAGAAACCTATCTAGAAACATTACTTTTGTCTGTTTGGTAGCACTAGTGGTAAAGAAACACACTTCAACTTCAACACACTAACAACATTCTACTATATAATTATTGTTATATGATGAACATAATTAAACCTTAAAATGTTTCACACACACAAAAAAAAATGTTTCATACAATAATACATTGGTTATCCATCAAAGAACTCATAAGATCACTAATACTATAGACAAAATTAACCCAAAATGTAAACACGTACATAAAGCAACTATCAGTTAAAATATATATTTATATAATTTTGCAGACACTGTCTGATCTGAAAATTTTGTTTCAAATAATAAAAAAAAAGTTTAAAGACAGTAGGTTAGACATACACTAGTCTAACAGCTGCTATATAAATATAAGCAAATGTTAAAAACTTGATCCTCATTGTAGCTGCATAGCTTCACTTCCTGAACTTGGAGAGCAATATTATTTCTTCAAAAGCTCTTTCACTGGCTCAGAAAAAGCAGAACTGATGCTTAATCAGCACTCATAATCTGATATGCACTTTTGTTCACACTGCACCCAAGTATAATTAGTTTTTCAAATATGACCTTTTTGGACAGACTGTCTGCACTCATTTTGCAAGTAATCAGATGAAATGTCAGTGTGAATAGAGTTGAAAAAAAAATCTGCTCATCTTCGTTATGAAATGAAAGTGTTTTACACATTCATGTACATACAATGTTTAAAACCACTCACTCATCTGCTCATTCAAAAATCGCTACAATCAATGTCACAGTTCACTATATGAACAAATGCAGGCACATCTGTACACACTACCATGTTGTGACATATGCCATGTTGCAAATGAAAAACAAAGACTGAAATATAATGATCTTTCAGATTGAAGTGCAATTTCAAAACTTCTAATTATTACTGCATTTCAAGTCACTAAATGGATTTAAATTAGCAGCACCATTATATAACCCCTTTTTTGTTATGTGATTTTGTGAGCAGTCATTGAGGCTCCCAAGTCAAGTTTACACCTGGCATTAACTTGTTCTGTATACACATAGTATCTGAATATTGTTTCTCTTGACTGCATTTATGCCTTCATTCCAGTTTCCAGTGTGATCAGAATTTTTTTTTTAAATAACAGGAAATTGTACAGTGTTCGATTATCTCCAAAACAGATGAACGTGCCAACATTTTATTACCTTGGCTGTTGTACATATTGAGACATCACCAAATCAGAAGCTTAATGATGTGTTACATATAATAAAATAAAGTACCACTACACTACAAGTCTTTGAGCTCTTCAATCGAATGTCTTGACGTGTTTCATGGGACTCGTTCCAGAGCACTCCACAATGCAAGAGCAATGGTGAGCTACTAAGCAAGTTTGACAACATCAGGAAAACAATACATATTCAGCTGGTCATGTGATGCAAACATGAAAATGTATTTGTTCGGCCGATATTATAGCCAATATATAACTATTTAAAGGGTTAGTTCACCCAAAAATGTAAATGCTGTCATTAATTACTCACCCTCCTGTTGTTCTAAACCTGTAAGACCTTCGTTCATCTACCATGTGCGTGTGGCGGCGCCGGCGCTGACCCAGATCCGGCGTGATGACGTCATTACACCGGATCTGGGTCAGCGCCACCACACGCTCGCATCATGGTACTGTCGTGAACGCGCGTCCACAAGTGATGCAGTAGAGATGAAAATGTGGAATAAAGTCATTATTTTTGTTTTCTTTGTGCAAAAAAGTATTCTCGTAGCTTCGTAACTTTACATTTGAACCACTGATGTCACACGGACTACTTTGTCGATCATCTTGGTACTTGTCTGGACCTTGAATGTGGTAGTTACCTTGCTGTCTATGGGAGGGTTCGAGAGCCCTCAGATTTCATCAAAAATATCTTAAATTGTGTTCCGAAGATGAACAAAGGTCTTACCCTTATGTTGTTCCAAACCCGTGAGTAATTACTGACAGAATTTTAATTTTTGGGTGAACTAACCCTTTAATTATCTGCATCAGGTGTTAGTTTTTCTGTTTGGCTGATAAGTGTCAGAACTAGGTCTTAATTAGTTTACGGTTTTAACAGCACTTATCTTGTTATTATACTAAAGAACAAAGTTAAATCTGCCATCGGCCACCTTGCTCTCTAAGGTATCAGCATTGGCCATCAAAAGAATCCATATCGGTTAATACTGATAGTATCGACAGTATTTGTACAAATAATTATGTATTAATCAACTGCCCTGTAATCATAATTCATAAGAATAAATGTTCTTGGTGTTTTACTGTTTTTACGGGTGTATTAGTGTTTTAGTTGGAAACCGCAGTGAATTGTATGTATAGCTACTCTTTTTTTTGGGCGGGGAAGATAATGTCCCAGAATATGTGGAGTGGTGACTGGGTTGCTTTTTTCCTTACTGAAGTCGCCTGCAAGATCATTGTACTCTCTGAAAATGGGCATCTGGGACTCATTGCTCTCTATACTGGTTAAGAAAACAGATAAGGAAAATGTGCAATTACACGTTCATTCAAAGGGGTCAAAAGTCTACCCTAAACCAGGCCACTACCAAACTTTTGTGGTTTGAGAGATCCGATCACTATCTGATAATGCAACTTGGGTGTATTTATTTCACTTGGCTTTTACTAAGGTCACAATTGTCATTCGATCCCCGAAAACATATTAATGCCATGTGTAAAGGAGCCCTAATTAGTGTATAATCTTTTTAAGATATCCTTAAAAAAGTAGTTCTGTACAGTACAAGCTACAAACAAAGAGCTGCTTACTAAATTGAAGCTAAGAGTATACACTTTATAAACACATAACTTTTAATTGATATTTAATTTCGCAACTAGAGCAGTTTCTATCTGGCACGAAAAAATAGTATAATAAATATGAATAAATATTCACAGAGTAAAATTATTAAAACACACTAATGTATATAACTCACTAAATATTTTTTTAAATGCAGTCTGGAATTCTGTGCAGGCTAAATCACTTATTGCAGAGGGTTTCAACTCTGTTCCTGGAGTCCCCTACACATTTTGAATGTGTCCCATTTCAGATCTTGGTGTCTTCTAATGAGACCTGAATGATGACCTGAATTCATGGTGTGTTTGATTAAAGAGAAATGCAAAATGTGAATGGTTGGAGAGGGCTCCAGGAACAGGGTTTAAAAACACTGGCTTGTTGGATCTAAGAAATCATGTTTATTTACATGAAACATCCAAGCGAACCAATACACTCAGTCAAACTTCCCAACACAGTGAGTTGACAGTTGGGTTATTACCTCCTTCACTCAGCTGTGCCATGGGACCAACAGCAATGTAGTGTTTTGTTACACTACACCACTACTTGTTTGAAAAAAGTAGCTTGTTAGCGTTTTGAACAGCTGAATATTGTCACACTACTGAAAAAAAATGTGTTGTATTTTTAGTTATTTACTATGCAGGGCTGTTCCTAGTAAATGCCTTATGAGTTTTTATTTCCAAACCTCTTAAATCAAATCTCACAGTTATGGCAGTTTACTATTATTTCTTGATATTTTTTTAGAAGATTTAAGTAAACCACGAGTAGATATTTTCTCTTCTTTGGTATTTTTTTCATCAGCTGATTCTTTTTCATTTTCTGATTGATCAACTTTTTGTCCATGAGCTTTTTTATTTAATTTTGCCTCTTTTTCTTCTTTGTAATTGTTCACATTTTTTCTTTCCTTCTTTAAATCTTTCTCTGTTTGCCCCTTTGATGCACTCTCTTTTACTTTGTTAAGCCTTTCTTTCTCAACTTTCTCTTTATCCAGACTTCCCTTTTCTGCATTTTGTTTGGCCAGTCTTTCCTTTTCCACTCTCTCTTTCTCCATCCTTTCTTTTTCTGCTATCACTTTAGCCAATCTTTCTTTTTCTGATTTTTCTTTAGCGAGTCTCTCTTTTTCTGCCTTTTCTTTCTCAAGTCTTTCTTTTTCTGCTCTTTCTTTAGCCAGTCTCTCTTTTTCTGCCTTTTCTTTCTCAAGTCTTTCTTTTTGTGCTATCCCTTTAGCCAATCGTTCTTTTTCTGCTTTTTCTTTAGCGAGTCTCTCTTTTTCTGCCTTTTCTTTCTCAAGTCTTTCTTTTTCTGCTCTTTCTTTAGCCAATATTTCTTTTTCTGCTCTTTCTTTAGCAAGTCTCTCTTTTTCTGCCTTTTCTTTGGCCAATCTTTCTTTTTCTGCTTTCTCTTTCTCCAGTCTTTCTTTGTCCGCTTTTTCTTTAGCCAGTCTTTCTTTTTCTGCCTTTTCTTTCTCAAGTCTTTCTTTTTCTGCGCTTTCTTTAGCCAATCTTTCTTTTTCTGCTTTTCCTTTAGCGAGTCTCTCTTTTTCTGCCTTTTCTTTCTCAAGTCTTTCTTTTTCTGCTTTTTCTTTAGCGAGTCTCTCTTTTTCGGCCTTTTCTTTCTCAAGTCTTTCCTTTTCTGCTTTTTCTTTAGCAAGTCTCTCTTTTTCTGTCTTTTCTTTGGCCAATCTTACTTTTTCTGCTTTCTCTTTCTCCAGTCTTTCTTTGTCTGCTTTTTCTTTAGCCAGTCTTTCTTTTTCTGCCTTTTGTTTCTCAAGTCTTTCTTTTTCTGCTTTTTCTTTAGCCAATCTTTCTTTCTCTGCTTTCTCTTTCTCCAATCTTTCTTTTTCCACTTTTTCTTTAGCCAGTTGTTCTTTTTCTGCACTCTCTTTCCCCAGTTTTTCCTTTTCAGCCTTTTCTTTAACAAGTCTCTCTTTTTCTGCCTTGTCTTTGGCCAGTCTTTCCTGTTCTGCTTTTTCCTTAGCCATTTTTTCTTTTTCTGCCCTCTCTTTCTCCAGTTTTTCTTTCTCCGCTTTTTCTTTAGCCAATCTTTCCTTTTCTGCTTTTTCTTTAGCCAATCTTTCCTTTTCTGATTTCTCTTTCTCCATCCTTTCTTTTACTGTTTTTTCTTTGGTCAGTTTTTCTTGTTCCACTCTTTCTCTCTCTGCTTTCTCCTTGGCTAGTTTCTCCTCTTGTTCTCTTTGTATTCGTTCCTCTTGAAGCTTAACTTCTGCCTCTTCTTTGACTTTTTTGGCAGCAAAAGCAGCTTGTCTCTCCTCTTCCTCTTGAGCCAAAACACTATGGACCTCAGCAAGGGCTAGTTTGGCAATCTTTTTGGCTTCAATCTTCTCATGAATAATTCGTAGCTGCTCCTTCAGAGCTGCTTTCAGCTTTCGGCCAATATCCTTGGTAGGATGTTCTGAGAATGAGTGGGACAAAAATTCACATCTCAGAAGGCTCATCATTCATGTCCCATGCAAACACATATATTATATGACTGAGCTATCTTAGGTGACTGAATAACTGTCTACCTTTCATAATTCATGAGTGAGGAAAATTCACATTCAGTTCTTTTATTTAGATTTAAGATTTTGCGATGTTCAGTTTATTGTGCATTTTATAATATACAGTCATGGCCAAAAGTTTTGGCAGTGACACATTTTGTGTTTTGCAAAGTTTTCTGCTTAAACTGTTGTGGTGTTCATTCACAAAAAAGCGAATTTCACAGTTTTTTTATCCTGACACAAAATGACCAGCTAACATTAATTGATTAATCATATCAGCAGCACGTGAAAGTGTGAATGAGTACCAGTCAGGTGAAATCACTGTCATACTAATTAGATTGATTGCTATGAAAGGAGGGAAGAAGCGCTTCCAATCATTGTGTTCTTGTTACCAATGGTTACCGCCAAAGAAACATGCAATCATCATCGCTTTGCATCAAAATGGCCTCACATGCAGAATATTGCACCTGAAAAACCATTTACTGGATCATCAAGAACTTCAAGGAGAGAGGTTCGACTGCAGTGAAGAAGTCTTCAGGACGTCCCAGAGTGTCCAGCAAGCACCAGGACCATCTCCTCCTGAGGAGTCAGCTATGGAATCGTGTCACCAGCAGTGCAGAGCTTTCTCAGGAATGGCAGCAGGTTGGTGTGAGAGCATCTGCACGCACAGTGAGGCAAAGACTTTTGGACAACGGCCTGGTGTAAAGAAGGGTAGCAAAGAAGCCACTTCTCTCCAAGAAAAATGTCAAGGGTAAACTGAAATTCTGCAGGAAGTACAAGGATTGGACAGCAGAAGACTGGTGCAAAGTTATTTTCTCTGATGAATCTCCCTCCCGACTGTTTGGGACATCTGGAAAATCTATTTTTCGGAGAAGGAAAGGTGAACTCTACCATGAGTCCTATGTTGTGTCAACAGTGAAGCATCCTGAGACTATTCGTGTATGGGGTTGCTTTTCAACCAAGGGAGTGGGCTCTCTTATAATTCTGCCCCAGAACACTGCCATGAATAAAGAACGGTATAAAAACGTCCTGCAAGAATGACTTCTTCCAACGATCCATGAGAAATTTGGTGATGAACTGTGCATTTTCCAGCATGATGGCGCACCATTTCACAAAGCAAGAATGATAAAGAAGTGGCTCGTAGATTATTACATTAAAATTTTGGATCCATGGCCAGGCAACTCCCCGGATCTCAATCCCATAGAGAACCTGTGGTCAGTCCTCAAAAGGCGAGTGGACAAGCAGAAGCCCACAAATTATGATTAACTCTAAGAACTAATAAGGCAAGAATGGATTGCCATCAGTCAGGATTTGACCCAGAAGCTAATATGCAGCATGCCAGAGCGAATTACAGAGACTATTAAGAACAAGGGTCAACACTGTAAATATTGACTCATTATATTTTTGCCAATAAAAGCCTTTAAAACTTATGATATGCTTATCATTGTTTTTCAGTATACCATAGAAACATGTGGGAAAATAATCTACAAATACTGAAGCAGCAACACTTTGCAAAACACAAAATATATGTCACTGACAAAACTTTTGGCCATGACTGTATTATTTATCTGTAATTTTAGTTCAAGCCTGTAATGTTTTATTGATTAAGTGACCGTTTGAAAAACAAAGACTCTAATTGTTTTCATTCAAGCATCTGATGAAAATGCATTGTTGTGCAATTGATGTCCCTTATTTTAAAGCACATGTTAATGTAAGACATTATGTGCTGCACACGCACACACACACATAGTTTGTATGTATTTATATTTACAAACATAAGTATAATGTATTCTGCAGGGAAAAAAAGTCATGCAGGTTTTGGAACAACATGAGGTTGAGTAAAATATGACCGTATTATTTTTGAGTGTCACTGAAGCTAATTTATTATGCTACTAACTCCATAACTCATGCTAAGTACCTCTGTCTTTTTTAAGCCCCACTTCTTTAGGTCTCTCATCTGCATTGAAAGAGGGGCAAACAGAAGTTAGAAGAATGAATGACCTGGATTAAGAAAAAGATGTGTAATTGTTGCAACTGCCAAGTTAGAGAACACATGCTCTACTAAAATAGCAATCCAATGTCCGGCACAAACACCTTTAGCTGAATATTAAAACATAATTGAAAAATAAAATAAATAAATTAAGAATGCTGGTTAAGAGATAGCAATGAATCATATCAGATGCCATTAGTTCATTCAATAGATACATTTTAAAGGATTAGTTCACACAAAAATGGAAATTCTGTCATCATTCATTCACCCTCATGTCAATCTGTTGACACAAATGAAGATATTTTCAATATTTCCTTTCAATGTTTACAAAGAATTTTCCTTAAGTTTGTTTTTCCCCCTTAGTATACAAATAGCATTTTCTGGAGGGGAGAAAATAAGAAGAATGATAAATTGACCCTCACAAATGCACATGCACAGACAGGTAACACTGACTATCACCAGACGATGTCATCCACAGCAATTAAACACTGTAAAAAAAAATTAGAAACTTCTAGAACTTTTAGAAAATGATTCTTGTCAGAAGACGTAATCCCGTGGTTGTGATGTTATTGGATTTCAGAAGGGGCAAAATAACGGTCTGCATCAACTAGTGAGATCACTGGAATTGGGTAAAGAACTGGCCAATGCATTATTAAAACCTAGAAGGTGAATCAACTTTTTGTTCACTATACGTCATGTAAGAACTGTAGTCAGAAAAAAAATCTTGATCGTGATTAGAGATCACCCAAAAGCTTGATGTTTCATTAAAACAAAAAAAAAAAAACTGAGACTAAACAGATGTGTGCCCACAAGAATGTCACTTGTTAGTGAAGTTAATCATTCAAATAAAAAAAATTCTAGGGAGCCTAAAGAATTGACTGTGGAACATTGGTCAGGAAAGTCCCACAGGAAAGTCACTTGTTAGTGAAGTTAATCATAACAAAAAAGAAGAAATAAAATTAGCCTAAAGAATTGTGTGGAGCATTGGTCAGGTCTAGCCTCTGCAATGTTATGTGGCAGTAAAATGAAGTCAGCTGAGTACTTATATGTACTAAATGACCATCCCATGACAACACTCACATATTACAGAACAACAATGCTAAAATTCATCTGGCTCAAATTGTTAAAGAGGGGTTCAGGAAGCACAAGGAATAATTTCTACACATGAACTGGGCACCACAGATTCCTCACTTTAACTGCACTCAAATACTTTGGGATGTGCTCGGGAAGACTTTATGGAGTGATTTGACTCTTCAGTCATCAATACAATATTTCAGTGAAAACATTTAGGCAGCTCTGGAGAGAAATAAAGGTTGTCAAAACACTGCCACAACTAATGTGAGCCGTAATCATATTAGCTAATTTGAAACATCTTGATTTCGATCTACCGTTTTTGCTGAAATTTAGCTGTCTTCTGTTGGATGCCTTTCACACTCACGGATTAAGAATAAAAGAGAAATTATTGAGATATAAACACTGAGCAATGTGCATACATGGAGCACATAATATGGTAAGCGTAAACTCAAAAGCATGCTTGACATGAGCACCAATGAGGTTTGTTTGTCAAGCTAGCATGGTTGAGCTTCTGTATACACATTGAATAATGTTTGTGAAATTTTTCGACTTTCAAAATGATGAGAGAATATTAAAAATATATTTATTTGTATTCAGAACATGAAAGCTGAGTAGTGATGTACAATATTAGATTTTTGACAATGAATCGGTTATTATCAGTTATTGTTATTGGTAAAATCCACTATCGGTCGATAATGTCAAATGTCAATTCAGGGGGGGGGGGGGGGGGAGAATCACATTATGAAATAAATGTAAAATGTCTTTTTAATTGTTGGCCACAATTTCTGCCAGCCCTAGAAATTCTTAGGAATAAAATATCTCTGAAGTATATTCCCATTCATATTTACTTTTTTTTTTGCACACCAGGGTGACTAGGAGTATGAAAGTGTCTAGCCATGACTTCCTGTTCTACATGATTATAAATATGAGGAACACAAAAGCCAAATTTCCTTAATCATCTATTACAAGTAGTAAACCCAAAGAATATAGTTCTGATGTGCAGAACAAGATTGTCGAGCTTCACAAAATAGAAAGTGGCTGTCAGAAAATAGCTTAATCATTGAAAATTCCCATTTCCACCATCAAGGCAATAATGTTCCAACTATGTCCTAATCAACTAAAGATGTTACAAATCTGGCTCGAAGAGGATGTGTGTCTATATCTTCCTAATGCATGATGATGAGGAGAGTTTGAGTGGACAAAGACTCTCCAAGGATCACAGCTGGAGAATTGCAGAAATTAGTTGAGTCTTGGGGTCAGAAAGTCTAAAAAAATTAAAAAAAAAGCAAACAGCCCCTACAACACATACATCTTGTTTGGGAGGGTTTCAAGAAAAATCCTCTTTGTCCATCAGGACAATGATCCAAAACAAACATCAAAATCAACACAAAAATGTGTTGCAGCCCCAACATGGAGCTGGAAACTGAAGGGTCTAGAGTGATTCTGTATGAAGGAATGGTCACTGATCTCTTGACTGGTGTTCTCCAAACTCTTCAGGCATCATAGGAGAAAACTCAGAGCTGTTATCTTGGTAAAAGGACATTACAATAGTTAGGTGCCAATGATTGTTGCCAACATGAACTAAAGAAAAACATTTCATTATGAGACTTTCTCCCCACTTTCAATTGTTTTACTTCAATGATAGGTTAGAATTTTGTGCATTTTTTGAATAAAAGATCAAAAGGATAAACGATGCAGATTTATTTTTACAGCCACCTTTGGTCATATTTTCCAAGGGTGCCAATATTAGTGGAGGGCACTGTACATTACATACATACACATATACATATATATATATATATATATATATATATATAATACCAATACTGTTTCAGTATTGAATTTCAATACAGAATTTCACATTTCTCAATAACAAAAAGCTAATATGCTTAGATTCCACAAATCTGATCTATAATTTTGACCTTTTCTTTTTCTTTTCTTTTTTTTTGTTGTTGTTGTGTTTTGTTACAGATACTGGTTCTAATTCCATTTTTTTTAAGGTTAGAACGTGTTTAAGAAAAATACACTCAATACTGTGAACTGAATTTGGGAAATTAAAAACTTGTGTGTCCTTATTAGAAAATCATAGAGATTTTTTATGCATACAAATACAAGATGAGTATAAGTACTGTATGTGCAAATTAAAACATTTCATTACTGTTGTGATTGTCAATATTGTTGAAGCACATTGCATTACACACAGATGACCTTCTCAATAAAAATGTTGCAACCCATGCAGGGATCTACAAAGTGATGCATCAGCCAACAACTGCATGGAGGACGAGCAGTGCCACTTAAAATAAAAACAATTGAAAGTGTTGATTATAAAAAACAGAAATTATCATTATATTATAAAAAATGCAACAAAAAAAAAACTTTTCAAATTGACAAATAGATTTATTTAAAACAAATTAATGTATGTTTAAAAATGCAGCTAAATATAACAATAATAATAATAAATTGATCATTCTAATTGCTTTTCTTAATCTATTCACCAAATACTGTTTAATCATTCTGCAAAAACTAATGTTATTTATTCATAAAATTAATTTACATAATATTTAATACATTAATTAAATATTTTTTAAATTGAAGTAAATTTATTTTGTTTTGTTGTTACACATAACCATTTATTTGTCCATTTGAAAAGTTCATTTTTAACCATACACCAGTCTCATGAATCCACTTCAGTCAATTTTGTGTGCCAAGAGCCAAGTCAGAATAAAATGCATATTCAAAGACCTCAAACAACACACTAATGGATACCTTCCAACATGCCAGTGTGACAGAAAAGCTACATCTTTTTGCAGCTTTCTCGGTGCATGCAAACACAATCGACAAACATAAAACATAGGTACAAGTGGCTGTGATAGCCACAAAATGTCTTTACATGTATGCTTGGAATGGCCTGCTTGTATACTGTCTCCCTCCGTTGTGATATTTTTTCTTAAGGTTTTTTCCTTAGTAGCCACAGTATCATTCTCTGAAGGAGAGAAAGTTATAAGAATGATCCCCATAAATAGAAAGGCACATACGTACACGCATATAAAATAAATAAACGCTCGCTGACTATCACCAGAAAACACTACAGCAGTTATTAACCACTGCATATAAGCCAATCACTTTCCACTTACCTGACATTCCAAAATAACAAACAAAAAAAATAGATTTTATCCACAGATTGTAACAACCCATTCAGGAAGCAAATCATTGTGAAGCTTGCAAATCAGGATAATTTGTGGAGTCACTTATGCAATGTGTGTTTGCTGTAGAAAGCATGTTCATGTGCAGCTTGAGTGGAAAAAATATTTCCAGTCAATAAACAGACTACTCTGTCTCCACTTTCATAATTAATTATAAAATAATAAATAAATAAAAAATAAAAATAAAAAATAAAAAAAGTTTCTCTCTCTTTATTTATTCCTTCTCTTTCTAGCTTGTACTTATTTGAACAATGTCTAAGAACTTGGTATTACAACCACTTCTTGTGTCTGTTTGCCTCTTTAAGAAGAATCGCTTTATGTATCCCCCAATTGTAAGTCGCTTTGGATAAAAGCGTCTGCTAAATGACTAAATGTAAATGTAAATGTAAATAAATTGATTAAAGTAATTTTCAATAAGTGGCCCTGCGTTTGCGGAAAAGCTACTGTGAATCAGATCTGAGTAGCACAATGTCTCATCTGTTCTTTAATGAGACAAAGCTTACTGCTCACTACCAACGTAACAAATTTGCCACACCAACTGCCAGTGATAATTCTGAATGTGTCAGAACTATAAATAAAGTTTATAACAGAGAAAAAAACAAACACTCTGAGCTATGAGATGCCAGCCTCACTAACACAAAACTAAATAGTTACAAGCTAAGTATTTGCTAACACCATCAAATAACAGGAAACCTCAAATGCAGACACACTTATGCATTTGAGACACAGTGGAGGAATATACCTCACATTTAAATTTAGTGGCACAGGAAAAGCTTCTTTAGACCAATTAGTTATCTTAAGTCTGAAAAATGTGTGTGTGTGTCACCTTAGTCAGTGAAGAAGGAAAAAAGCCACATACACAAGTAAATTCCACTCACCCAACAAAACTTTGGCATCTTCTACATCAAAGTCTCCATCGCCATCAGCATCATATACTCCTCCAAGAGCACCTTTCGTTGAGCAAGGATAAAAGACTTGTGAAACAAACAAGATGCAGAGTAAAGAGGGTCCAACACAATAACACGGTAAACAAATGCATTTCCAAACATAATTTCTTGCCCCAGACCCTGTTTGTACTTTTGTCATTCTTGTACATCTACAATGAACCATGAGGTTGTTAAGGCCCATTCACACTGAGCATGACTTCACAGTGTACATCTCTGGTTTTGAACAATAAAAACTTGATTGCTGATGGGTGTGAACTGTCTGTTCTGTGTCTCCCTCACAAATCAGTCAGCAAACCAAAGACTTGAAACCAAAGAACACAGAATTTATATTAGGGCTGAACGATTAATTGCATTTGCGATAATATTTTGAAGAAGGAAAAAAGCCACATACACAAGTAAATTCCACTCACCCAACAAAACTTTGGCATCTTCTACATCAAAGTCTCCATCGCCATCAGCATCATATACTCCTCCAAGAGCACCTTTCGTTGAGCAAGGATAAAAGACTTGTGAAACAAACAAGATGCAGAGTAAAGAGGGTCCAACACAATAACACGGTAAACAAATGCATTTCCAAACATAATTTCTTGCCCCAGACCCTGTTTGTACTTTTGTCATTCTTGTACATCTACAATGAACCATGAGGTTGTTAAGGCCCATTCACACTGAGCATGACTTCACAGTGTACATCTCTGGTTTTGAACAATAAAAACTTGATTACTGATGGGTGTGAACTGTCTGTTCTGTGTCTCCCTCACAAATCAGTCAGCAAACCAAAGACTTGAAACCAAAGAACACAGAATTTATATTAGGGCTGAACGATTAATTGCATTTGCGATAATATTTAAATGTTTCAATCACAGAGGCTGCGATTACACGGTCACGTGACACGCGAGAGTAAAGAGGTGTGTTCGACTTGAAGATCAATCGGTGTATGACATCAAAGTACGGCGAGAGAAAGCATAAGGAGACGTCCGCGCTCTCTTATAGCTCTCGCAGTACTTTGGAGTGTTGCCAACTTAGCAATTTTGTTGCTAGATTTAGCAACTTTTCAGATTACCCTAGCAACTTTTTCTTCCAAAAGCATCTAGCAACAAATTTAGCAATGTTTTTTATTTCTTTAGCAACTTTTGAAAAGATGTAAAAGCCTGTAACCCAAAAACACAACATACAATGCATAATTTAAAATGCAGGTTCTCGCAGTACTTTGGAGTGTTGCCAATTTAGCAATTTTGTTGCTAGATTTAGCAACTTTTCAGATTACCCTAGCAACTTTTTCTTCCAAAAGCATCTAGCAACAAATTTAGCAATGTTTTTTATTTATTTAGCAACTTTTGAAAAGATGTAAAAGCCTGTAACCCAAAAACACAACATACAATGCATAATTTAAAATGCAGGTAAAAAAAACCTGTGAAAAATCAATATGGAAAATTCCTTCATATAGTATTTTTACAGATTTTTCTTAGAGTGTAGCATACTAACAAACTACTAATACACTGCTTAAAACAGTGTGGTTCAGAATGTGTCGTTTTACTAGTTTAATAAAAAAAACTTAAATAAAAAAAATAGCTAATAAAAAAATTTAATATGTTAATAAAAAAACTTAAATTGTAATTGTTAAAAAATGTGTAAGTGTTCAATAATTCAATATTGTATTTAAAAATAGTTCTTTATATTTTTATATTATTATATTATGCATTAATATTATTTAACGAACAAATCAAAATTAACATATATAAAATATATTTTTTGCTGAGATTTGATGCAGTGACACGATTTTGCATCGTGATTATGTGATGACGTCATCGCGCAATGACATCACAACGTAATTTAGCAACTTGTAGCAACAGATCGACCTTCCTTTATCAACTTCCCAAGAAAATTAGTTGGCAACACTGTTGATGACACACACCCATTGGTCTAAGCAGCGCTGCTTCAATTCGAGCGCGGGCCATCAGCAGAAAAAGAAAATAAATAAAACAATAAACAGCCAAAGGACATAACTTAGAATGGGAGATGGATCGGTTTGTGAAAGTGAAGAGAAAAGCCATAGATGAAGTCGCACAGACCCAGACAGGTGCAGGTCATTTAAAAGCTAAATGCAGAAAATATGACGAGGCATATCTTGCTCTCGGCTTCACTCACCGTGTCTACCGGACGCTACAGTTGTCGCGTCGTGCCGCAACAGCTCTACACTGGACGAGACAAAGCGACCGTTGCAAATCATTTTAACTTTGTGTCAGTACTTCATAAATAGAACAAGGCATCAGTTTAATGTCGGGGTTTTGTCGTGAAGCAATCCAGTGTAGACAGTGTCACTGATTATAATGGGTTCTTCTGTATTTTGCCGCTCGCGTCCGGTGTAGACACGATGTTTAATGTCATCGGTGAGGAGGAAAGCCTGTGTGTGTCCTATGCCTTAGAGGACAGCATGAAACCCACAAAAAATAAATGAATAACAGAGAGAGAATAATAATAATAATAATAAGTTATTCTCTCTATGCTATTTTTCAATGTTTCAAGTGATGAGTTTTTTTAATTAAAAAAAACATTAATTTTTCATAATTATTGAAATTATTTGGTAGTCTGAGGTGGGATGGGGATTCGGGGAAGGGGGGCAGATTTTTTTATAGGTTTAAAGGGGGGCGCGACCAAAAAAGTTTGAGAACAACTGGTCTAAATTATACAGACGGTGTTTAAAAAGCGCAGTGCACATGTTTACATATGTTTATTACAGTGACTTTGAATTACCTAAAGTAGTGTGGTAAAGCAACAGATTTGTTTTTATATTTCTGCAATCTACTTTAGTTTGTGTGATTTGTTACTGACTTTCATATTCATGTTTACACCAGGCTTATTTGTCAGTGCTTTATGTTGTCATAATTATTACATTCTTACAAGGTTGGAAGTTCAACAAATCAGTCAATATACTGTGATTGTAGTTGTTAAATAAAAATGTAACTCTTATCAATTCATGAATCACCTAATTTCATCGTAACATATAAGCCTGGCCTACAGAAAAGAACATTTATGTTTAATCTATCTAATATTGTGTTGGTCATACTATACAATGATTTTATAGCTTGTCTTTGTTGAATAATACAGAACATAAAGTTAATAAAAAATTATTATTTATAAAAAAAAGAATTGCATATTAAATCGCAATCACAATATTGGTAAAAAAAAAATCGCAATTAGATTATTTTCCAAAATCGTTCAGCCCTAATTTATATGTCATGTTAATATGACAGATAGCTAGAATAACTAGATTAATTTATGGTTTATAACCCTGTCTATTCAGCCTGGTGTGTGTATGATTACTGGTCCTACCATTTAATTAGAAGTTTTAATCAGCCAAGCTGTGCAACAAGATAATCAATATTTACACACACTGTGATCGACAGAAGTGTCTGAATCTGACAGAAAGTGGAAAACTTTGTAGCTCATACTAGGGCTGTCGAATTTTCGTCTAATTTAAAATAAAAATCCACATTCGAATGCAAAAATTTTGCATTCAAATTTTAGGTGTGCATTAAGGAGGCAGCCTTATCAGTGGCGCACGAGATGCGATGACGATGTAAGTGTCGTTGCTTTATAATGTTTTTGTTAGCCTATCCAGTTGAAGCCACTAGATGCGGCGCTGGTGCGTTGTTCATTCAAAATATTGCGGAAAAAGAGAACATCAATGCGGAAGAGAACATAAATTTTCAATCAAAACTGAAACCAAGCCGTTCACACAGAACACATATTTTGCGCATTTTCTAGAGGGACATCTGTCACCGTTGCACTTGCATCTCACACAAAGGAGCCGCATGTTTAGAAAGCCATTTAAAATTAATGCAAGTTAAACTTTGAAAATAAAAACAACATATATCGAGACTTTATGGCGGGGTTTTTTCCCTATCCCACTGCATCTCATGTTTTTAAATTAAAAGAATGTACTCCGTGTGATTGGCTTTCTGCCCTTTGTATTAAACTATGCATACATACATGATGCTGTTTTGTTTATAGGTGTTTAAGCAACTTAATTATAATTGGTTTATAAACATTATTTTAAACATTATGCACTTTTTTCACAGATAGTCATGTTATCTTATGCTTTGAATTATGCTTTGTGCATTAGTAATATTTTGCTCGATGTGCCCTCTTGTGGCCTCAGAAGAGAAGCCAAAAGCTTTTCTTCACCCTAACTGAAATTATGCATTTTAAATTTGAATATAATTAGAATTTTGATCATATTTAAGTACAAAATTTTAATTTAGTTTTTCAGCCATTTTGACAGCCCTAGTTTATACTACACTTAAAAAAAGGTATTGTATATAAAACCCTATTCTTAGGTAGTAAAACCTTCTGGGGATTTCACCCAATCCTAAGGCTGCGTGTCCACCAAAGTATTTTTAGCCAGCTGAAAATGCCAGGAGCTCTGCTGACAATGCCTAGCTGTGAGAACTTGGGAGCGCTTCTGCGGCACAGCGTTTTCAGTCGCTATGATACGGAATATCTGCTAAAGTAATATGGCAGACACATGTTTCTCCAAGCATTCTTTTTCATAGCAATATTGTGGTAGTCCGGGAATTCCATCTGGTGATGACTTGAATACTCGTAGCAAGCAATATTAAATTCTCCATTGGTATTCTGTCGTACAAGCAGGGTGTGACAGTTGGTCGGTGTTGTATTAGTCCCGGCCCATCTCCACTGTGATTGGTTAGCTGACTAAAAAGTGACAGTGATGAGCGCTGCGTTTTATCCAAAGTTGAACATTCTTCGACTCTCAGCGGCGACAAAAAAAAATGCTGAGCGCACAACATTTAGAGTGAAATAAATGCTCAGTGCCTCATCACGTTCATGGCATTTTCAAAAACGTGGTGCTCTTATTGAAAACTGAAAAACAATACACTAGCCTTGGGGAAAAAAATGCTTTGGTGGACACGTGGCCAAACACTCTTCGGCCTAGCACCTGTGGGGGATATTGTAGAGACAATTTGAGCAACACTGCCCTTTAAAAGAGGGCATTTAACAGGATAGATGTAGGGCTCTATATGAAATGTGTTTTATTTTTTCTCAAACTCCATTTATTTTCCAAATTCCTTTTTTTCCATTTTAATTTTTACTCCTTTTTAATGGTTAAATTACATTTTATCAATCAAACATCACGTCAAATTAATTAAAATCATGAAACCTATACAATTTAACATCCATTTATTCAAAGTTTAACAAAATTACATGTTTAAGGCCCTATGAAATGTTTTATTAAATTTTTATCACCACCTTATGTTTTATTGCTAATTCTGTGTTTTAGCATGTCTAATTATTTGAATGCATAAAAACAACTTAATTTATTCAAATGTATTCTTGCAATAGCTCTATGAAAGTTTTTTTTTCTCTCAGTGTAGAGTAGTACTTGTTGTTTGTCCTTTCTCTGATCACAAATGTAGACATGGTTTTATGGTACGCTCCGGCCGGACAGGGCATCACAATATGGTAAGGGGGGTAACAGTTCCGTCAAACGCTTGAGGTATTCGGCTAATCACAATGCACTGGATAGCTGGCCAATCAGAGAACACCTTGCTTTTCAGACAGATGAGCTTTGTAAAAATCGACACATTTCAGAAAGGCGGGGCATAGAGGAGAAACAGTAATGTACAGTATGTGGAAAATAATGTGTTTTTTTAACCTTAAACTGCATAAAAATTTCATTACACCAAATAAACATAATAATGTTCTCATATGACCCCTTTAATCTTCTCCATCATCATCCAGCACTTTGTCACAAAATAAGCTTGATAATACATCTCCAGTAGTTAAAAACTGCTGTCTTCTCATGGTTGACCTACAAGGCTTACTTGTTGTGTCAGCCATTTTTATTCATGTGTTATCCACAGGCTTTACCCTCCATACAATTCTCAATGCCAAAGTGGCAGTGCAGTTACGTCGTTTTGGCACCAACTGGATTAGTATTTTCAATGTCAAGACTTTTTGCTTCTAATGAATAACTCCAAAATGATTAAGAATTAACTTGTGTCCTTATGGCAGTAGAAAGAGCTCATCAAAAGCTTTCATTTTATATATATATATATATATATATATATATATACACACACATTTCACTCAAAATGTTACTTATGCCCTTTTGGTTCTCATCTCGATATGATATGACGGTAGTTTTACTTAAATTAAACGGTAAAATGCTAATGAAGTACTCTCAGACCAGTTTCGGAGATGTTGGTCATGTATTTATGTCCTCATTTAGTGAGACAGCACACGCTGCAATCACCGCGAACGTCAAGTGCGCTTCAGTATGTGCAGTAAACGAAACCGTGTGTCTGCGCCTTTCATTCATACAGACACACAGAACATGCAGGATTCATATTTAAAGTATTTTTGCGGCCTAATATTTACAGATACTGGTCCATGATTTAAGAGTAATGACCTACTTTTGATTAAGTCATTCAAACTTTGACAAATTCCGTGACATTCCACGTTTTCAGTAAATTCCATTTTTGGATTCCGCGATTCTGTCTGAGGTTTCCGCATCCCTATCCATCTTATTTTTTCCCGTAAGAGCGGGCGCAACCATTTGTAAATTTAATGTGTCTGGCTTCCGGTGTCGCCATCTTCTTCTTTGGAATTTTTGGCATATTCCGCACCGCAGGCACATACCGCCACCAACTGTTTATATACAGGTGCATCTCAATAAATTAGAATTTCATGGAAAAGTTCATTTATTTCAGTAATTCAACTCAAATTCTGAAACTCGTGTATTAAATAAATTCAATGCACACAGACTGAAGTAGTTTAAGTCTTTGGTTCTTTTAATTGTGATGATTTTGGCTCACATTTAACAAAAGCCCACCAATTCACTATCTCAACAAATTAGAATACTTCATAAGACAAATAAAAAAAACATTTTTAGTGAATTGTTGGCCTTCTGGAAAATATGTTCATTTACTGTACATGTACTCAATACTTGGTAGGGGCCCCTTTTGCTTTAATTACTGCCTCAATTCTGCGTGGCATGGAGGTGATCAGTTTGTGGCACTGCTGAGGTGGTATGGAAGTCCAGGTTTCTTTGACAGTGGCCTTCAGCTCATCTGCATTTTTTGGTCTCTTGTTTCTCATTTTCCTCTTGACAATACCCCATAGATTCTCTATGGGGTTCAGGTCTGGTGAGTTTGCTGGCCAGTCAAGCACACCAACACCATGGTCATTTAACCAACTTTTGGTGCTTTTGGCAGTGTGGGCTGGTGCCAAATCCTGCTGGAAAATGAATTCAGCATCTTCATAAAGCTGGTCAGCAGAAAACTGGTGTGTCTTACCATATTATTTTAATGTATTATCTTAATTATGAACACACTGGTTTTGTAGTGCAAACAGTTTTACAGTTTACTGCACTTTGTTATTCTGCTCTACAAAGGCAAAATACCTTAACTTGCTAGAGTGTGAAACAGAAAAATGACATATATATATATATATATATATATATATATATATATAGAATACCAAATACTTATGCACTCTCTCTGTCTATATTAGGAAAACTGGTAAAAACAAATGAAAAATATCATAACTGTGAAATTCCTAATAGTAATTCCAAATAGTCAAAGCCTATGTTTCTCTATTCAAACAACAGCGGTTGAGTAAGTGCATTTATTCAGCGATCACAATCGCAAACAATACAGTCGAGATCTCATGACAGAACACAGACTGGTTGTGTGATACTTTCATTTAGATCGCTAAACTCCAGCTCGTCGTCGGCGCTTCCGCAATGAGGAGCGAGCACGTGTGCATGGTTGCCAGATTGCTTAAAATAAGCAAAACAGCGCACAGAAAATGTATCCTTGGAACAGCGAAGCTCTGATTCGGGGATTTGAACTCTTGATATCTGGCAACTGCAATCATGAAAGCTTGTGTAGTAGAGGCGTGTACAGTAGTCCGCAATAACATGTGTCTAATTTAGAAGGCTGCGTCCTCCGGAGGTCGCATTCGAAGGCTGCATACGTCATCGAGGCTGTCTCATTTCAGAAAAGCAAGTAGGACACTCCAAATGCGACCTTCGAATGCGACCTTCTTTCACAGGAATTCGGAGGGTGCATGAGGTGTATCCTTCGCTGCTACAGATAACCCACAATTCTTTGCGTCGCCGTGAACAACCGTTGTTAATTTGAAAAATGCCGGCACCGGCAGATATAACGTACACACAAGCCCAGATGTGGTGTTTACAACTTACCTTAATTCGCCTCGGTCAAAACGGATAAACTTTGTTTTTAATAACCTCCTCCTTTTTTTCTCTAATAGATGCCTGCTGTATGTATGCTGCAGCTCCTCAAACATTGAACAAAATAAAACAAAACATTTTTTTTTTATTACTTTCCAAATTTAGAAATAATTTTCCTTCATTTAAGTAGTGTGAGAACGCAACGATGCTCTAAATGTGTTGGCATAGCAACGTGATACTTCCGGTTTCCTTTTCCGCCTGTCCTACGAAGGCCGTCTCGTTTAATTCTAGGTTGAGGACACTTCGTATATGCATCCTATAGAGGATGCGACCTCCAGAGGATTCGACCTCCGGAGGGTGCAGCCTTCTAAATGAGACACAGCTGTTGTCTCCTTTTTTGGACGTTCGGCTCGTTCTTTTGGGAAAGTATGCTTGAATTTGAAATATTCGATATTCACAATATTTTCACATTTTACATCGTCGTCAAAATTATTGCGATATTATCACTAATATTCGATATATTGCCCAGCCCTACTTATCGCTGCCAATCTAGTCTTTGCTTGTTCACAGTGCTTTGTTATATGGAGCTGTTAGTGATCAAATTAATTTGTCTAATGAAGTGCTTCAGTGAGAGATGTATGAAAGTACCCAGGTTACACTGTAATTTAAAGGCAGCAGACTTTAATGGACAGTAAAACAAAGGCAGAATACAGTAACTCCAGGCTGGTGTACAATAACTTCATATTGACACATGGCTAAACAAAAGCAGAGTCCTGTAACTCAATTTGAGTGTTCCAAAACAAAGTCAAAGAGCTGTAACTGGTGTTATATGGTGTTCTGCCTTGGTTTCTCCTGGGCTTTTGGAAGTTACTGTTAAGACAACCCATTATTTTCTAAAAAAAAACAACAACAACAACAACAAAATTGTCTGAAGATACTTATCCATATGATAAAAGAGGTCTTGAATGTCCCAAAAATACCAATAACTAATTTTTGACCAAAAATGAAGTTACAGTCTTTTGCCTTTGCACGGTAGTATTCTTCTCGTTATTTCCCTACAGCGGCTAATGAACCAGAAGACTCACACATATTCACAGAAAACGGCTTACTTCCGCATTGAAAAATAAGGTGGATAGATGTGACAATGTGTTATGAACTTGTACACTCAATGCCAAGAAGGGTAGAACAGAATACTTAAAGTTATGAAAGACATACCAAGTACTAGAGCATTTAGCCTACACATTTTTTTTATTTAATCAAGGGTGTTTTTTGCAACCCTTTATTTAAACAAAATAATTTACTATATGTTTAATATACTTAAATTTTGTCATCTTTCTATTATTTGTATTAGTAATCATTAAGGAAATATAATAAAAGCAAAAAAAATAAAGAAAAAATATAGAAACAAATTGAATTTTTTCAGAAAGTATGTTCTCAGGGATTCATACACATGCAATTTTACCTCACTATAAATTATTTTGAAGTAAACACTCCAGAGATCTGCATGAATCATTTAGGTGACAATTTGTGTAAAAAAAAAAAATTTTTACCAAAAAGTGAGCAGTCTACATTCCTAAATACATTCCTGATTTTAAAATACTTACCAACCACACTGTTGTTGTCAACAAGGTCAAACCACACAACACCCACAGACAACCAAACCCCCAGCAAAGCCAGCACCAACAGCCAGCTAAAGAAAGAGTTTCCCTCTGTCTTTTGTTCACTCTTAATGGTTGTATTTCCACCTGGAGAGTCTGAGAAGACACATACACAGAATGAGATACTCAAAACTACTGTATCTGTCAGAAGCTATCAAGTTGAATACAAACTAAATGTACACTGAAAATTTGTATGCAGAATTAGAATTAGAATCCGATTAGGTTTTCAAAAAATGCTAGTAATCAAAATCAAAAAGCAATTATTTTATGTAAAATAACAAAATAAAAAAAATAAAAACTGTAAAGTGTTAGTTCACCCAAAAATGAAAATTCTATTATCATATACTAACCCTCATGTCATTACAAACCCATAAGACCTTCATTCATCTTCAGAACATTAATAATTTCCCCCATCCCAATTTTTTTACAGTTGGGACTATGGTTTGATAAATATGTGAATATGTGCTGCGCACTATCTTCTCAATGACAAAATAAACACACAACAATAATGAGTGGTAAGAAAACAGCAGTTAAGAAAGCATTTGATCATATTAATATGGATATGTTTGCTCAAGCTCTGATATTTAACACTCAGTCAAGACACGTCACATTTATTTATATAGCACTTCATACAATTATTCAGTGTTAAACAAGAATAAACATTTTCATTGTCACTTTTAAAATTAGAATTACAATTTATATTATAAAGCATCTCTCCAGTGGGTTTACATTTTTACTAGCGGACATGTGACCTTTACAAAACCGAACAGAAAGTGGCTCTGGCTGTGAAAATAGATATACATTTTGGTGGGTACTGACTGGTTGGCAAAAAAAGACACTATGGAAAAAATTATATACGTTATTAATTCCCATGCATGTTCATTTTACTCTATGCAATTTGCATTTCCATACAGTTCATTGTGATCACACAAGTAGAAACTGTTGAACACAGTAATTTTATCCCTCATAGGCTCATTTTCATTGCTGCCAAAATTTAAATATTGCACTACCCTGATTTAGGTCTGTTGGATGCAGACAGGAAAGTTCAGCTAAGCTCAAGCGGTCAGTTTCAAAGCTCAAAATGCAGGTATGCTGTGCTATATCCAGCTGAACGCTATGTCATATTCATGTGTAAAATTAGCGTTCGCTGGTCTTTATTGGAGAAAATATGATTCTCAGTATACAAAGACCACTATATTGATTGTACTGTTGGTTACAGTGTTTACTTTCTGAGGTCACCGTTGGCACCAGATATAGTCTGTATCCAGATCAGATGGTCACTGCAGATCCCCCGGATCCAGTACGTATTCAGACCAGATGGTGGATCAGCACCTAGAAAGGACCTCCACAGCCCTGAAAGACAGCGGAGACCAGGACAACTGATGAGCCCCAGATACAGATACCCTGTAAAGACCTTGTCTCAGATGACCAACGGGACAAGACCACAGGAACCAGACCAGTCCTCTGCACAATGTGACTTTGCTGCAGCCTGGAATTGAACTGCTGGTTTCGTCTGGTCAGAGGAGAACTGGCCCCCCGACTGAGCCTGGTTTCTCCCAAGGTTTTTTCTCCATTCTGTCACCGATGGAGTTTTGGTTCCTTGCCGCTGTCGCCTCTGGCTTGCTTAGTTGGGGACACTTCATTTCCAGCGATATCATTGACTTGATTGCAAATGATTGCAAAGATACTATTTAAACTGAACTGAGCTGGATGATGACATCACTGAATTGAATGATGTCTTTAACTGAAAAATGAGTGTTTACTATTGTCATTTTGCATTATTGACGCACTATTTTCCTAATTAATGCTGTTCAGTTGCTTTGACACAATCTGTATTGTTAAAAGCGCTATATAAATAAAGGTGACTTGACTTTAACCATGTTTTTAATCATTTTATTTTTGAAAAATGCCAAAATAGGATTACAGAAGTTGGTATCAAAATTAAAACTATTAACTTGTACTGTAAACTTATTTTACAGATCTTTTTAATCAAGTTCAAATTATTTATCAAATTGGATTTTCTAATTATTTGAATGAAATATTATGGTTGTGTTATTTATTCAAAAACGAAAATAAATATAAAAACAAAAATAAAATTAAACTGACTGTAAAAATAAAAGAGTGCCATTAAAAAAACTATATCGGTCCACATTTAGTTCTACAGGTTTGGAACAACATGAGGGTGAGTAAACGTCATGTTTTTTATTTTTGATTGAACTAACCCTTTAATATCAACTTGTTACCCCTACTGGCACTATGGAGCTTTCAGTTTAAAAAATTGGTAGTACTAGATCTTCTGGCATTGTGCCCTTCTTATTCAATTAAATTACCTGTAACGTCCTGAAATGAGGTCAAATGTTGAATGTAAAAAGCCACAGGGAATGGTTCACTCACAGAGGCGAATAACAAAGGGTTAAAAAATAACACGATCATATAACATATTGTATTACACTTGACTGGCAAGGTTGTCTGTATGTTACATTCACATACAGACATGTGATCATACTCTAACGGCTCTACTTTTCAGCCCAAACTATGAATGGGGAGTGGCTACATCACCTCACAAGGTTGAGAGGGCCAGTGTAATTAGTATCACAATGATTAGTCAGTCCAAAACACAACCAATTATCAAACTATCAAACATACATTTGTGAAATTAATTCAAATGTAAAAATAATTACAAAAAGTTGTTACAAGCAAAACTACAGTGGCATGTTATGAATGAATGAACTACAAATGGCATGACAGTATAAACAATTTAACAAGCTCACACTTTATGAAAAATACAATACACAAACACACAAAGAGATGAACTTTAGACTTCATGCTCAAACCAGCACTGAGTTCAACAACCCCATGTGAAACATTACACTATATCTGACATATGTAGATTTTGCTCACACCACACCAGTAAAAGCACCAGCAGAAACAGCCCACGTCTAAACATGTCAGACAATACCTGTCATTTTTGCTCCATCTACACTGGTTTCACCCATCCTTGGTGGTTTCTAGATTTTGCAAACTAAACTGCAAAAGAAAAGCACAGCTTTTACTGCTCACATGAAGTACATCTCACTGGTTTAGCTGCAACATGATATATGCACTGCCTCCTAGGTATTTTTAGAGCTGCTGTACACACACCCTCTTTTGGACCTCATATGGAGACAACAGTTATAGCTAAACACACACATACAAACACAATTGACCAGTGAAACCACCTCCCTGCGTTTTATTTAAGACAAAAGACCATACCACACTGCAACTTTTATGAGATTTTTTATTTTTAGGGCTGGGAAAATAAATCGATGCATCGCAAATCGAGAAATGATTCAGCATCGATTCTCAGATTTTCCGAATGCATCGCGATTCTTTATTGAATCGATTCTGAGCTTAGTTTTGAACAGCAGATGGCACTGCATGCTTTAGAAACAGCCGTACTCTGCTTGTTTCCAAATCCTTACACACACTGGAACCTAAAATAATCATTCATAAAATTCGAAAAGGTTGAACGAATTACAAAGGTGTTCACAGTGGGCTGTGTTTACATTAATCTCGCGTCATAAAAGCATTCTGAGCTGAAGTGAAATTACATGACTCCAGTCGTGTAATGTAATAATACCTCGTTACAGTACTTAAGTATTTTTTGGGAGTATCTGAACTTTACTTGTTTTTATATATCAGCCAACTTTTACTTTTACTCCACTACATTTCCTAATTAAAATGTATACTTTTACACCAATACATTTCCCCGAAGCATATTCGTTACTTACTACAAAATAGTCAGAAGTCAGAAGAACACGGACTGCAGGAAAGCAGGTTTGACGAATCAGTGGTCTGGCGTTTGCAAGACAAGTTAGACTCCTAAAAACACCTTTGCTCATGTGCAAACAAGTGCGCGCACAACCGTGGTGCGGATGATTTCATTTTCCACTCAAGTCGAGTCTGGGGTGTGCGATACAGCATCGTCTGCGATAATATGGTAAATGTTGTTGTATTAAATTACCACCACCCCCCCCCCCCCGCCCCCC